TTAGCTCAATCATGTTGTAACTAAGACATCCGCTGGAAAAAATATTTTTTTCATGGACTGTGGCCAGAGTTATTACATACACCGCTAACGGCTAACGGCGTCCCTACGCCCCTACGTCCCTACGTCGCCCCGGTCAAAATGGTCAGGCAACGATTACGTCACATACAGAGCCCGGTAACTTTACAGGAACCTTCCTCCTACTCCACCCTCTCAGTGGAGACACGGCAGTTGAGAGAGCCGAGCGAGAGAACATTCCTGTAGTAGTTCCTGCCCCCCAAATAGTACCAGGAACTTCTTCAGTGGAAACAGGCCTATTGTCTCTCCTTCGGGTACCTGTGAGGAGCCCAGCAGCGGCGTTCTGAACCAGCTGGACTGACTAATACTAGTGTACAAAGAGTTACAGTAGTCTAAATAGGAGGAGATGAGAGCGTGGATGACTATCTGCAGGTCTTTGAGGGAGAGAAATGGCTTTATTCGTTTGTCAAACTTAATGCAGAATCAAATATCAAATATTTTTTACATAGTTAGAGAGACTGGCCAATCATAACATTACATCGGGCCAGGGTCCGACAACAACACAGCTGTGCTCCATTGACTCTAATGCAATCGTTTCAGGTTTCCTTTAATTTCAGGCTGGTTTTGTGGATTTGGAGCTAAATGTTGTGCCTGGGGCACGTTGTGTATTAATGATACTCGTTACCTGGAGAGGTTGGAAAAAGATATACAGTTCTTCCGTCTTCCAAAACCAAATCAAACCCTGAAAAGTGTAGGGTTAGCTAGCTAGCTACTGAAGCTATATCTTACTGAATGTATACACATGCTGCTTTTGCTTTTTAATGATTGTAACACTGAAAAAAAGACCAATCCTGCTGTACAGGAACCAGTGAAGGGAAGCAGGGAAACTTTGCTGATTCAACCAGCTGTGTGTCATGGCATTGTGTGCAGATGAACATTTTTGACTTCCCTCAGAGATCCCTCTTTGTCCAGTGGCGGAGGTCCGGGTGCTGGCAGCACAGAGCTGGTTCAATATCTGCGAAGTTTCCCTTTATATTTATTGTCTTCTGTGGCGATCAGCAGTGATGTGGTGGTTCACTTTTACATTGTGATCTGTAGCCTATAGTTCAGCTTTAGTGTCAAATTGTCTTTGTCATTTTAACCTGTTTTTGCTGCTGAGTCAGTTTGACATCCTGGATATATCCTTCAAACATATACTGTAGACCCCTCTGTCTGTTTCTCTCCAGAATCACTATTTCAATTTTCCAAAAATATGAAAATATTTCTCCCAGGAGTGCAGTTAGTTACAGTGTGGGCTCCATGCTGACTCTGACAGCTTGTAGGACCATCACAAAGGGGCGGGGCTCAGCAAAAGGTCAATTATGCAACCTATACAGTACAATGGCATAATCGATGGTATCAAAGGCAGCAGTTCAATCAAGGAGAATAAGGATGTCGTTGGTCACCCTTAGTAATCCAGTCTTAGTACTATGCTTATAGCAAAAGCCAGTTTGCAATTTATCAAAGATTAGTTGACCCTCACCACCTTTAGGAGTTAGTCTGTCACATTTCTTTAAAGGATTGTGGATAAAAAGGTAGTTTGGAGTTTGGTATAGACCAAACTTAGGGAGAGATCTAAGTGGGGGGCATCGAGAGAGGGCTTTTTGAGAAATGTTTGAATGCTGGCAGTTTTGAAATAGTCAGGCAAGATGTGAGAGTGAAGTTAATAATAGAGAGCAGGCTGGGACTAAGACAGGAAGAACGGATTTTAGAAATTTTGTGGGAACTGATTCTCAGTGACTGGAGGAGGGATGCATATGAGGTACAGTGTTTAAAATGGTCTGTAGGGAGATAAGAGCAAATTCAGACAATTAACTGGTGAATGGAGTGGAGGGTAAAACTGGCAGCTGAAAGTCTGACCTCCGACTACTGATCTTGCCAACAAATAAAGATAAGACTTTTTTACAGTCATCAGATGATGCAGGAATGGCAGGAGTTGAGGGATTTTTGAGCTTGTTAACAGTACTAACCAGAGAACTATGGCTCTGTTAATCAATATTAATCAAGCCAGAAAAGTAGGCAGCACGCGCGTCTTTAATAGTTCGATTCAGTTTAAACAATAGCTCCTTCATATGGAGATGGTGGACTTTGAGTTTAGAGTTTTTTACACATACTTTGGCAAACACGAATACAAATCCTTAAGCCATTTAACTTGGCCATTAATATTAGTTAGGGAAGAAGGGGAATTGGCCAGGCCAGACAAGGAGCTGTAAAATGTGGGTGCAGACTGCTCATTAAAGATGTGAGAGTGGGTGATATATTTTTGGGTTATTCTAGAATGCACTAAAGGTATTCTTATTCTGCGAATTAAGAGACACGCGAAGCAAAAAAACTAAGTCAAGAGTGTGTCTGTGGTTATGACTTGGGCCAGAGATGTGCTGTACAAGGTTAAATTTAAAAGCTATTTCAAAATGGTGAAAAGAACTAAACCTTCTAGAGACCAAGTAATGTGATTCTTGAAGATAGTTACAAAGCCTCCACCACAGCCTGTTAGCATTCAGGACATTAGAATTGGGTGGGCAGATCTCTACTAGAGGGGATCATTCTTCAGGTTTAAACCAAGTCCCAGTAAGAAAAAGAAAAGGTTTTGTTTTTAGTTACATTGCCAAGAATAAAACATTCATCAGATATGGACTGAGAGTAAAAAAGAGCAAAGACAACTGGAATAAGGGGCTTAGCTGAGCTAGAATTACTACAGCAGACTGTAATCAACTTTTCTGACCTAGCAGTCAAAGACATGTAACACTTAGGAAAAATTTAAAATTTAGTCTAGATATGATCCTTACAGGAATATTGTATGAGTCCAGGGATGCACTATTTGGTAGACACACAGGTCCGGAGGTGGAGTTCTTACAGGAGTGCAAAGCCAGTGCACTGAATCCCCAGAGAGGGATGAAGGCCATCTGGTTTATTTAAAAAGGCAGCAAAACTGTCAACAGAGGAGATATGTCTGTTTCTGCAGTACTCCTTGATCCAGATGTGGAGTTGGTATAGGTGACTGAACTTTACGTCACCACAACAAGGTGGACGAATAGGGCCAGAAATAGTTACCTGCTTCTTGGTGTCCAACAGACTGTCCATCAGGTGCACCAAATCCTTTTTGGGGATCTGCGACTGCTGGTTGTTGATGTTCTTCATGCCAGTGTGAATGACCACTGCAGAGGCAGAGTTGTGTTTTTCAATCAGCTGCAAAGCAGTGGATGTAATTGTCCTTAACACAGGCACCAGGGTAGCAAGAAAGTTTGGACACTGCTTACCGCTATGTGTCAGACCACAAAGGTGTCGTTGACAAGCACCAAGGGTGGGCGCTGCGCCTGGGTTTGTATGCCCTACCACCTAGGTGGCTTGACTGGGATGGCAGCAGGTGAGGCTTGTGCCATGGAGAGGACAGAGGGAAGACTGCCTGGGCGAGCGGTGGCCCCGGGGTCATGGGCGGTAATAGCAGCAGCAGCTGAACCAGTAGAGCACCGACCTTCTGCATGGGGAGCGGGTAGACAGTCTAAACCAGTGGCAGGATTAGACCCCAGGATTAGCTCATTCCTGTCCTTTGGGTCCCGCTTCAACCAGTTGAAGTCATCTTACAACAGTGAGTATGCTGGCTGGCAATGTCGACACACAGCCATGATGAAAAGTTAGCTGTTTCAGGCCTAAACCATAAGAAAGGCAGCCAGCTTGCATAAACAAACCAGGCTAAGCTAGTGGCAGTTGAGGCAGTCAAGAGAAGGACAGACTTGCAGGTTACTAAAAAGTGTGACCCAGCAGTAATGATCTATCAGGTGATGTCCACAAATGTCGTGTCTTGTCTAACCAACAGTCAGAAAGTCAAAGGAAATTCAGATCACCATGATACAAAACACACAAAAGTAAAACTTCAGCGAGCTACTAGCACAGACATAGATGTGATCCACACAAGTACTGAAGTACAAGTACAGGAACTAAACTAAGCACAAAAAGTAAGGAAATTTGTGTTTAAATCTAATACAGTTGGAAAGTCTGTTTATTTCCCTTTTAAATGGTGCCACATTTGTAAGGAACATGCATTTGTGGGATGAGCAGCAGAGCTGAGTATGTGGGTTGCGCCCATGAAAATTGCCATATTTTGTCTGCCAATGCCAAACAGCTTTTTTTTTTTTTTT